AAAGCAGGGGAGGGTAGGGGTGAGGGGAAAGATCAACCAAAGGACTTATATGCATGCATATAAGCATAAGTGATGGATGTGGACAACAGGGGGTGAAGGTGAGGGCAGGATTGGGGGGATGAGGGGACATTGGGGGGATAAGGACACATTTGTAATATCTTATTCAATAAAGGAAAAAAATAAAATACTATTTGGTAGGGAACGCAGTCACTGATGTTAGCTGAGAGAGTGCCATGTTTGATCATTTTTTATGTTGGTTTTTTTTTTTAGTCTGTGTTGAGACATGATTATAAAGTGGTCCTGTCTCTGTCTTGCTCCATCCTAGTCACAGAGAAGTCTGTTCTAAAGCTGGTGTTCTGTGGAATGGCTTACCTTCAGTAGGAGAAGCCATGGCCTAGCTGTGGGGCCAACCCAGCTCCCAGCTGACAGCTGTCAGGGCTCCTTTCTTTGTTTTCTCTCTTTAAATATATGTACATGAATATGTAACCATATTTAGGATCATGTAGTTTATTTCACTTAATTTTTTTCTTCCCTCACGTTTTCATTGCTTTAGTATTTACTTCCCTGCTACACTAGTTCCCGTGTGTCCCTGCACCCTAAGAACCTTCATTAATTCCCTCTTTTTTTATTTTTTATTTTTTAAAAAAAATATATTTTATTGATTTTTTACAGAGAGGAAGGGAGAGAGATAGAGAGTTGGAAACATCGATGAGAGAGAAACATCGACCAGCTGCCTAGGCACCTTTCCTAAGTATTGAGGGAACTTACATGGTGTTAGGGAAGAAACCTATGCACACATAATTAAACACCTGTGTTTATGCAGCTCTAACCATGTGCATTATCTCATGGAATCCCTATGGGGTGTGTACTATTGGAAACTGTCTCAATGGTAGAATGTAGCAGTTATGGGCCTCCTGTGCTGTGGAAGCACAGGGGAGGGAGAAATTAACTACAGGTTCAGGAAGATTTTGTGGAAGGGAAACTAGATCTTGAAGGATGGTAGGGTTTTATTGGCAGGAAAGAGGGATGTGGTTGTCCCAGGAGAGGGAGGAGAATGAGCAAAGGGAAATTCACAGGGCTCACATACCAATGTGTATATGAAGTCTTTAATTTTAGCTCTGTTCACAAGGAACTGTGGCCAGTATAAAGATCTTATATGTGCAAATGACATCCATCACACCTCTGGGCGAGTAGGTGTAGTACTTGTTTTACTTAGCCTCTCTAAGGAAAGGGTAAGTGAACGTAAAGTTATTTCCCTTTAACACAAAGTTAAAGTTTTACATTTCAAATCATTGGTTCAGATGAGTCCAGTCCATCTGCTTTTTGTTTCCTGTAAGAGACCTTTACTGTGATACAAGGCCATGAAGCATTTACAGGTGAATGGAGCTGAACACTCCCCCCAGTTTGAATTTCTGTTGGTGACTTTAGTTTTCTTATTGTTTCAGGTTACTGGGACTTTGCCATGCTTGCTTGATGGTGATTGTTTTATCAGGTCCAATTCTGCATCTCCCGATCTTGGAATATTATTTGAACTTGGAATTTCTTATATTCGTAATGTATGTCAGTTAACAAATAAGGCTTTCTCATGTATCAGTTGAAAGGGAAGATTTTTTAAAAGCTTGTATTTACAAGTAAAATAATTGAGATATTTGTTATAGAATTTTAATCCTCGAGGAATGGGAATGTCAGTGATTTTAATTTTATATATAGTGCTGCTTATTCAGTAGCACTTAAAGTGTAAAAGATGCTCAACATCACAAATCACTGGGGAAATGCAAATCAGAACCATAGTGAGATATCATCTCCCACTGTCAGAATGGTATTATCAAAAAGATAATTGATAATGGTACTATCAAAAAATGTTGGTGAGGATGTGGAGAAAAGGGAACTCTCATGCACTGTTGAAAATAATGTAAATTAGTGTAGCCACTATGTAAAACATTATGAAGGGTCCTCAAAAAATTAAAAATAGAATTACCATATAACCCAGCAGTTTCACTTCTGGGTATTTAATCTAAAGAAATCCAAAACACTATTTCGAAAAGATGTATGTATCTCTGTATTTATTCCAACATTATTTACAATAGCCGAGATATGGAAGCAACCTAAATGCTCATAAATAGACTATTGGATAAAGAAGATTTGATACATATATACAACAGAATATTACTCAGCCATAAAAAAGAATGAAACCTTGACATTTGCAACAACATAGATGATCCTTGAGGGCATTATGCTAAGTGAAATAAGCCAGAGAAACGCAGATACCATATGATTTCGCTTATACATGGAATCTAAAAATGTACAAACAGGCTCATAGATACAGAGAACAGATTGGTAGTTGCCAGGGGTGGTGGGTGGGAAGGTGAAAAGAAAAAAAAATGTGGTGTATTCTGTGCAACACCAGAAAACCTTACTACTGTGTAGTGATTTGTGACCGAAAGAAAAAAAACAAAAACCCTCTTTCAAAGAAGCAAAACAACCTCAAATAGGGTATATGCTGCATATATATTGAAACTAAACAGTGGCAACAGTCATACCTCAAGGGTTATGTGGCAGATAATATAAATGAAGAATGCCACAATTCCACAGCTGTTACCTATAGTCATAAATATTACTATGAGGTTAGAAGGTGAAAAACAGCAACAACAAAGCAATCTATTCCCATAAAATAATTTCCTGAGGCTCTGCTCAAAACGTTCATCTCTATCTCAATAGCTAGGAGGGGCATATGGCCACGCCTCGCTGAAAAGGAAGTTTATTTTAGCTGGGCATATTGCCCTTCCCTCCGTGAAAAAAAAAAAGTGAAGGTATGATAGTAGCGAAGAAAAGGGGAAAATATTGGGCAGGAAAAAAAATTAAAAATAAACAAATAGATAAGAGTGTATTTGTTCACTTTATCGCTTGAGTGGACCCCAGTGCTTCTGAAGAATGAAGATGGGAGAGGATGGGACTTTGCAGAAAGTCGCAGATGGTGGCGTTGCAGCACAGCAGTTTCCCTCTGTCCTAGAGGCAGAGGGCACTTAGCCTCGAGAATGTGGGTTCAAATTAAGGGACCTTTTTAAAGGGAATACCAGGAACTTGGATTAGTTTAACATCATTCAAACTATTGAACCAGTGGGTGTGGGTCTGTGATAATAGTTTTATGTCTCCATAGTCTAATAGCTTGAAAGGTGTAGTGTATATACTGGGCATCATGATAACCCAGAGAGCCCACTGTTCTTACATCGGTGGTCTTACACCGTCCTTTAATTTCTTAAGGCAAATCCATCCATCTGTGTAGTGTTGATAGGACAGGAGTGGAGCAGGTCCCTGAGTGGGCCCCAGTGTCCCCCAGTGGCCTCTGACAGTTAACAGTTGGGCAATGTTCTGAGCAGGAAAGACCCTTGAATGATTTAACTTGTTCATTTATCTGCAAGGGAGACAAGGCTTCCTGACCTCAGGTGCTGTCAATGTGATTTGAGCTCATCCCATCACCTGTCACTCAGGGGACTCGAGGACCAGCTGCCACCTCATCAGTCAGGTGGGGGGCGGGGGGGGGGCGGGGGGGGGGGGGGGGGGGAGAGAGAGAGAGAGAGAGAGAGAGAGAGAGAGAGAGAGAGAGAACGAACGAGAGAAAGAAACATTGATTTCTTCTACTTATTTATTCATTCATTGGTTGATTCTTGTATGTGCCCTGACTGGGGATCAAACCTACAATATTGGTGTATTGGGACAATGCTCAAACCAATGGAGCTACTTGGCCAGGGCCTCTCAGGTGTAGATATTTTCAGAGGGGTTTGCATATCACCATGAGCTCTGCAAGTACAAAGGGACTCTTCTGTGCTTCACTTTATTTTCTTGTGAAGAGCTTTTTAGTCTAAAGTGAATACTAATTTTGTACCTTTAAAAGGACCTGGTATGTGCTTCAGCTCTAGCTGGTTTGGTTCAGTGGATAGAGCATTGGTCTGCAGACTGGAGGGTCCAGGGTTTGATTCCTGTGAAGGGCACATGCCTGGGTTTCGGGCTCAAGGCAGCCAGTCAATGATTCTGTCTTATCATTGATGTTTCTATCTCTTATTCTCACTCTCTCTTCCTCTCTGAAATCAATAAAAATATATTTTAAAAAATAATAAATAAATAAATAAATAAATAAATTTGACTGTTTCAGACATTGTTTCATCTATGTTTTTATTTCCTAGTCAACTGGTGAAAGAGGAGAACTAAGCTGTGGCTGGGTGTTTCTTAAACTTTTTGATGCCAATGGAATTCCTATTCCAGCAAAGTAAGTTGGTTATATATTCCTTCTAAACAGGTAACTTTGTAGATCAGCTTTTAGAATCTAGATACCTCAGATTTGCCAAATGTATGCTCTGTTAGCATTTCAGTAGCTTATGGGGAGAAGGCTTTGAATCTTGCTTTTATGTTCCTTCAGGTAGGGTATGAAAACAGCATGTAAGTCTCATGCTAGGAGGGGAAGTGACATATAGAAAAGGGATGTTCGTAGAAACTGTCTGCTGAGAATGTTCTTCAGTAATTTTGTGTGGGATTAGTACTTTTCACAGTGGTGAAACAGCTCAGTTCCCTCCAAAACGAGGGAGAGCTAAGTCCAGGGTCCCCAGGGCCTCTGTGATTCTGCATTTCTTCTGTAGGTGGGACATTGAACTTGTTATGGCAGCCACAGTAAGCAAATTTAATACTTAAGACCAAAAGGTGGGTTTCTGGTCAAGATGGTGGTGTAGGTAAACATGGTATGCTCCTCCTCCCACACCACATCAAAATTATAACTAAACTTCAGAAGAACCATCATTCAGAACCACTTAACATCCGGCTGAATGGAAGTCCTACAACCAGGGACTTAAAGAAGAAACCATATTGAGACTTGTAGGAGGGATGGAGATGCAGAATAGGCTGGTCCCATACCCTATGTGTGCTGGATATAATTTGGAGGGATATGTTGGTTGCTGAGGTTCCCCCTGAGGAGAGGAGGTCGCAGCCCCACACCAGGCCCCAAAGCCCAGGTTCCAGTGCCAGAAGAGAAGTCCCCATTACTTCTGGCTGTAAAAACTAGTGGAGAGTGGCTGAGTGAGACATAGGCTGCTGGAGTCCCAGGCAGTTCCTCTTTTACATATATATATATATATATATAATATTTTTATTGATTTCAGAGAGGAAGGGAGAGGGAGAGAGAGATGGAAACATCAACGATGAGAGAGAATCATTGATCAGCTGCCTCCTGCATGCCCCCTACTGGGGATCAAGCCCGCAACTTGGGCATATGCCCCTGACTGGAATTGAACCCTGGACCCTTCAGTCCACAGGCTGACACTCTAAGAGGAACTGCCTGGGCCCTAACTGGTTTGGCTCAGTAGATAGAGTGTCCTCTTAAAGAGTCTGTGCATGGACTTACTTAGACTTGCTTTCTGTGAGTTCTAACACTGGGGCAGCAGCTGGAAAACCATCATAGATGTATGGGATGGAACTGAATTGTTTATCATCAGGGCAAGAAATAGAGGGGCAGCTTTCTGCCAGACAAAAGTGCTGGCAGAGGCCATTGTTCCTTTTCCAAAATCCCCGACCCCCAAGGAGCTGTCAGGCAGGTGCCATACCTGAGTCTCCATCAACCTGGTTAACACTGTTCACATCACCCTGTTGATTCCCTGAGACTACCCCACACCCAACTTGTGGTCCCACCCAAGCCATTTCCAGTGGGTTTTTTTTTTTTACACAAACTGCCTTCTTGGCTCCTGCTGTAGATTTTCCTAAAGTCTCTCAATGATTCACAAATTGCAGACAGGCAGCATCTGGCCTTGGTGTGTCCCATACCTCTTTTTTTTTTCCTTTCTTTTTTTAACTGTCCCATACCTCTTGCTAAGTGGCCCCATGTCTGGCACTAGTGACAGCTGGTCTTTGTTTGCAGCTTGGCCTCTCCTGGGGACTTTTAAAAAATATATATATTTTACCGATTTTATACAGAGAGGAAGGGATAGAGTTAGAAACATCAATGAGAGAGAAACATCGATCAGCTGCTTCCTGCACACCTCCCACTGGGAATGTGCACGCAACCAAGGTACATGCCCTTGACTGAAATTGAACCTGGGACCCTTCAGTCTGCAGGCCAATGCTCTATTCTCTGAGACAGACCAGTCAGGGCTCTCCTGGGGACTTTTAAGCCCAACACAAGTAGCAGCCATCTGCAGATCCATAGCTTGTGGTGGGTGGTGCCTGGGGCACACCAGGGAGGCCCCAGAGCTAGTGCACCCAGCAGACAGCTTCAGACCATGCCAATTATAACCCTACCACCTCCACGAGTGACACACTTAAGGGGTGGACTCAGTGAGCACCAAAGCCCCACTTAAGCAACTCCTGCTTTACTGCATTAGCTCCTGCATAGCAACTCCTCTATTGTAGTTGCCGCCAGTCTTTGCAGTCCGTTGGCCTGAGGATCAATCCCTCCTAGTGATGCCAACAGCAATTGAGGCTTAACTACAGCAGGACAGTGCATACAGTATGCACAGAGGTGCACCTGGAGCTTCCAGCTCGGGTGACTGGAGGGCTGTGCACCTGGGCCCTACAGGACACGTACTACACAAAGCCACTTTACCAATGCCATGAGACATAGCAGCTCTACCTAATACACAGAAACAAACACAGGGAAGCAGCCAAGATGTGGAGACAAAGAAATAGGTCCCATATGAAAGAATAGATGGTATCTCCAGAAAAAGAATGAAATGAAATGGAGGCAAGCAAACAAACTAACAGAAAATCATGGTTATAAGGATGCTCAAAAAACTTAGTGGGAACTTAAACAGCATGAAAAAGGACTTAGAAGCCGTAAAATAAGACCAGTCAGTAATGAAGGATATACTAATTGAAATGAAGAATAATTTACAGGGACTCAACAATAGAGTAGAGGAAGCCGAGAATCAAGTCAGTGATTTGGAATAGTATAAGGAAGCAAAACATAGCCAATCAGAACAGCAAAAAGAAAAAAGAATAAAAAAATATGAAGAGTGTAAGGAGCCTCTGGGACAATTTCAAGTGTACCAACATTTGCATCATGGGGTGCTGTAAGGAGAAGAGAGGGAGCAAGAAGTTGAAAACCTATTTGAAAAAATAATGACAGAAAACTTCCCTTACCTGGTGAAAGAAATAGACATACAAACCCAAGAAGTACAGTGACTCAAACGAGATTAACCCAGAGAGCTCCACACCAAGACATATCATAATTAAAATGCCAAATGTTAAAGACAAAGAGAGAATCTTAAAAGCAGCAAGAGAAAAATAGTTAGTTACCTACAAGGGAGAACCCATACCACTGTCAGCTGATTTCCCAACAGAAACTTTGCAGGCCAGAAGGGAATGGCAAGAAATATTCAAAGTGATGAAAAGCAAGTTCCTACAACAAGATTACCCAGCAAAGCTATTATTTAGAATTGAAAGTCATATAAAAAGCTTCACAGACAAGAGAAAGCTAAAGGTTGGAGTTATCACCACCAAACCAGTATTGTAGGAAATATTAAAGGGTTTTCTTTAAGAAAAGAAGAAGAAAAAAGATAAAAAACATGAATAATAAAATGGCAATACATACTTATCAACAATTGAATCTAAAAAACAAAATCAATGAACAAGTGGAACAGAAAGAAACTCATAGTTGCAGGGAACACTCTCATGGTTGCCAGATGGGAGGAGAGATCGAGGGATGGGCGAAAAAGATGAAGGGATTAAGGAGTACAAATTGGTTGTTACAGAATAGTCATGGGGATGTAAAGTACAGCATAGGAAATGTAGTCAACAAAATTCTAATAACTATGTATGTTGTCAGATGGGTATGGGATATATTGAGATGATCAGTTAGGAAGTTGTATAATGTCTAATCACTGGGGTGGGGGTGTGTGTACCTGAAACTAATATAATACTGTATGACAGCTGAAATTGAATAATAAAAGTGATTAAATGGCAAAAAAAGACCAAATGGCAAACTGGTAGCAAATATTTATAATACAGGATGGGGAAAAGTAGGTTTATAGTGTTGCATATGCAAAACAATTTATTCTTGCATTATTTATTCATTATTGTATTATTTTCTTTTTCTTTTCTTAATCCTCACCTGAGGATATTTTTTTTCCCATTGAGTTTTAGAGAAAGTGGAAGGGAGGGAGGGGAGAGAGGAGAGAGGAGAGAGGAGAGAGGAAAGAAGAGAGAGAGAGAGAGATGCATTGATGTGGGAGAGATACATCGGTTGGTTGACTTCTGCACATGCCCCAGTTGGGGCTGGGGGATGAACCTGCAACCCAGGTACATGCCCTTGAGTGGGAAACTGTGACCCTTTGGTGTGGGGCTGACGCTCTAACCACTGAACACACTGACAGGGCAAAGACAATTACATTTTAAAATGGGCACACACATAAAAATCTAACTTTAAAATGGGCACACACATAGAAATCTAACCTTAAAATGGGCACACACACACATACCATAAATCTAAGTCTAGGATATAGACAGGAAATTCAGAGGGAGGTGCAGGTAGGCAGTCAGGAAGAGGATGATGAAGATCCCATAAAATTCAGGGCTCTAGTCCTGCTGTGCCTTGTAACTGTAAGTCTCCAAGCCAGTTTCCCCCAATTTTAGAATGGGGAATCATCACAGTTTTTAACCTCAAATGTTTAATTCAGGTAATGCTCCCCCCTCCACCTCTGCTAACACTTCAGGGTGGATGGAACCTCCTTACCGCACGACAGAGGTGGAAGTCCTGACTGTGCTCATCCTCTGATGTCACCAGGCAGAAGGAGACGGGGCATTTTATTACCCTGGCCCTCCTACCCCCGGTAGATGCAGAAGCCCAGGCTTCTTATGATTTTGGGGGTTTTGTTTTTATTAATGTTCAGGGTTTTAATTGTACTTGGTAGGAAGGAATGGTGTGTCTATTCAATCTTTCCTGAAGTCACAGCTATTTTTTTTAAATGAGGTGGAGGCCAGAGGCCTCTGAATTAATACAGAAACATTTCCAATGTATATTTTTACATGAAAAAGCAAGTGGCAGGATAGGATGCGTACTGTCACTCCACTCTGGTCCACAAAGAGCTGCATTTGTATGCATTCATGAGTGGGTTTATGTGAACTGTTTCCAAGGCTGCCCCTGGAGCGGGAGTGGGGACTGGCAGCAGGATTAGAGAGGCCTTTTGCCTCCTGCTTCTACACTTCGGCAGTTTGTAACTTTAAAAGAAAAGGTCTTCCGTTTGAGATTCACTGTGGAATGTATTTGTTCCCATTTGCATAGAACAAGATAGGGCGAGGGACTACCAAACTAGAGGGGAGGGAGGTGGCTGTCATTTTTTCCTTATTATTTCTAGGCCATTGAAACTTTTTACTACAATCTGCATGTTACTTTTATATTTTATTTATTTATTACTTTTATATTTTAAAAATCATATAAACTCATATTGGCTATTTAAAAAATTTATCTTCATTGTTGAAAGTATTACAGATGTTCCTTCCCCCCATTGACCCCTCCACCACACCCATTCCCTTGCATCCCCTCCCCCAGGCCATATTTTAGATGATGATTCAAAACATTTTAATGACAGTAATAATCTTTTTCATGTTAATGTGGAAAATGTATTTCTATGGTTCATAGGTAAGAAAGAAACTTATTTACTGAGCTGATGCCCCACAGAAGGATCAGCTTCCATTCTCAGTCATCAGTCATCAGTGACACAGAAATATCTGCAAAGATATCTGTGCTGAAAAGGGATTGACTCAGGTGTCCACCGCAGGTCTCGGTCACAGCATACCCTTCTTTTGTAGGACTTATGAGCTCCTCCTGAACGGTGGCACCCCTTATGAAAAAGGTGTGGAAGTGGACCCTTCCATCTCCAGAAGAGGTACAGCTCTCAAGGGGCACCTCCCTTCCCTGCCTTAGAGATCAAGCAAACAGGAGGCATCTGAGAAGATAGCTATGTTCTAACACAGATAGGAAATTCACGTGTTTTTTTAAAAAAATCTTTATTCTTCAGATTATTACAGATGTTCCCCATAGCTCCCCTCTACCCGGTTCTCACCCTACTCCACGCCTTCCATCCCCCCCCCCACCCCCACTGATCTCGTCCATAGGTATAAGCTCTTTGTCCAATCTCTTCCTGCACCCCCACAACCTCTTCCCCCCGAGAATTGTCAGTCTGCTCCCTTTCCATGCCCCTGATTCTGTTAAATTCACCAGTCTATTGTGTTCATCATGTTTTTTATTCATTTGATTTTTAGGTTCACTTGTTGATAGATATGTATTTGTTGTCACTTTGTTGTTCATAATTTTTTATCTTTACCTTTTTCTTCTTCCTCTTCTTAGAGAATACCCTTCAGCCTTCAGTATTTCATATAATACTGGTTTGGTGGTGATGAACTCCTTTAGCTTTTTCTTGTCTGTGAAGCTCTTTATCTCACCTTCAATTCTAAATGATAGCTTTGCTGGGTAGAGTAATCTTGGTTGTAGGTTCTTGCTATTCATCACTTTGAATATTTCTTTCCACTCCCTTCTGGCCTGCATAGTTTCTGATGAGAAATCAGCTGACAATCGTATGGGTACTCCCTTGTAGGTAACTAACTGTTTTTCTCGTGCTGCTTTTAAGATTCTCTCTTTGTCTTTTGCTCTTGGCATTTTAATTATGATGTGTCCTGGTGTGGTCCTCTTTGGATTCCTTTTGTTTGGGGTTCTCTGTGCTTCCTGGACTTGTAAGTCTATTTCTTTCACCAGGTAGGGGAAGTTTTCTGTTATTTTTTTCAAATAGGTTTTCAATATCTTGCTCTCTCTCTTCTTCTGGCACCCCTATAATTCGGATGTTGGTACGCTTAAAGTTGTCTCAGAGGCTCCTTACACTATCTTCATATTTTTGGATTCTTTTTTCTTTTTGCTCTTCTGGTTGGTGTTTTTTGCTTCCTCATATTTCAAAACATTGATTTGATTCTTGGGATCCTCTAGTCCCATTGTTGGCAAACCGTGGCTTGCGAGCCACATGCGGCTCTTTGGCCCCTTGAGTTTGGCTCTTCCACAAAATACCACGTGCGTGTTTGCACGGACAGTGCGAAGTTGACTTAAAGCTTTAAATAAAGTTTATTCAGTTATTTTTAAGTAATGTTGTGGAATGAAAGAAGATGTAATGTCAAGGATTGAGAAAGGTGTGTTGAGATGGTTTGGACATAGAGAGAGGATGAAGGAAAGGAGACAGAGAAACAAGTATACAAGACGCGTGTGGATGGGAGAGTTGGAAGGGGTCGACCTCAGCGCACGTACCTCCATCAGATGGAGGACGTTTGTACCAAAGGCCAGCTTAGGAGTGCCCTAATGAAGTGAATAACAATGCACCTGCCTATATAGTTTCAGTTTAAAAAATGTGGCTCTCAAAAGAAATTTCAATCGTCGTACTGTTGATATTTGGCTCTGTTGGCTAATGAGTTTGCTGACCCCTGGTTTAAAGTATTGCATAGTCTCCTTTTCCCCCCTTGACCTCTCCCTGGCCGCCCCCACCCCCAGCACATGCCCCCACCCTCATCCTTCATGATCCAGGGCCATGAGTATGATGCCCTCATCTTCTTCTTCTTCTTCTTCTTCTTCTTCTTTTTAAATATATATTTTATTGACTTTTTGAAGAGAGGAAGGGAGAGGGATAGAGAGTGAGAAACATGGATGAGAGAGAAACATTGATCAGCTGCCTCCTGCACACCCCCTACTGGGGATGTGCCCACAACCACGATACATGCCCCTGACCGGAATCGAACCCAGGACCCTTCAGTCCACAGGCCGACGTTTTATCCACTGAGCCAAACGGGCTAGGGCAGATTCCTCCTCTTTCTATCAGGTTTGGAAGTGCCCAGATGAGGCCCAGCTATGAAGCAAGGCAGGCTGCTGCTGGTGCTGGTTTTTTGGGCCTTTTATTGATAGGTTTGCAGCTCCCTGACCCAGCTGTAACTTGTTTAACAGAGTTTTTGCCTGAGAAAGGACAGTCCATGCCTATGCAAAAGTAGCTATCTCAGCTCGGAATGAATTAAACTCGTAAGTCACGGCCCCACTGTATTGATATCACTAATTCTTTTCTCCATCTGGTCAGTTCTGTTTCCTATATTCAGTAGTTTACTCCTAATCTCCTTAATTGCATGCTTCATTTCCAGGATTTCTGATTGGTTCTTTTTTTAACGCTTTAGATTCTTTGGTACAGTACTCATTTTGTTCATTAATTATTTTCAGAACTGCAATCTTGAATTCTCTGTCATTTATATATTTCCATGTGTTCCAGCTTGCTTTATGGAGATTTTTCATTTTTTTCTGGGCTTCCTTGTTTCCATGGTTATTCATGGTATTTGCTGGTCCCCTTTGTCTAGGCTTCTATGTATTATATTGGCCCTTCTCCAGCATCTTTCTTTGAACAGGTCTTTCTACTGTTTTCTAGTAGGTGATGCTGAATCACAAGATTTTTAGCTCTGTGACGTCCCAGAGCTGCCCTCCATAGCTCCAATGAGACATTACAGTTGTGCTGCTTGGGGGTGGGCTTTGTTTTGCCCTCACCATAATGGTGACCCCCAGACCTCCATGGTGTCCCCCCCCTCCAAATAGGGATCAATCACTGGAGGAAACAGGGACTCTGCTGCAATATCTCTGTTTACAGATAATGTGCTCCTTGACCTGACACCAAGGGCAATGGGAAGTGAGTTTTGGGAGTCCAAGGGGGTGATGGGCCTCTGGCTCCATCTTTGCCGGGAACACTAACTGTCCAACAGCAGACAGTCACGACAGAATCCAGGCACTGTGTCCTTACCCTAGCCTCTCAGCTGGCTCAGCTGCTGTTTGCGCCACTTGCCCTGCTGGAGAGCCACCGAGACTCTGTTCTTCCTGGCCCATGGAAATACCTGCTTCCTCCTCTCTCCGGGGCTGAACTAGCAGCCAGCTCCCAGCTGCAGGGCTGCATCTGTGGCCGTGTGAGCTCTCCGCCTTTCTTGCCTCCCCATTTGCTCCTGGTTGCCCACCTTTAGATTATTCAATGCATGGGTCTCTCAGGGACACTTCTATATTGAGCATGGAATCCTTTGTTGAGTTATATAGTTGATAAACTTGTTAACAAGTTTCAGGGGGAGAGGCCAAGGGGTCTCTCATACTGCCATTCCTCTAATGTCACTCCCCAGATATGCTTTTTAAACTTCTCTTTTTTTCTTTGTAATTCAGCCACAACAATGCAGCTGTCAGGGGCAGACACTGGTGGTGAAAAGACTTTGTTGTATTATAGCAAAATACCATGCTTTTAAATTAAAATGAAAATACTTTGTTGTGTTATATGCAGTCCCAAGCACTTAAAGTTATAACATTTATTAATTTTTTTAAGCACAAGGGAGTGTTTTCCATCAGATGATGATGAGGAGGAGGCAGCCGCAGCTTCTAGTAAAAGTGAGATCTTTGAACAGAAGATCAAGAGACCTACTAAGGTTGGTATGCCTTCTGCGGTTTTTGTTTAGGAGCTCGGGTTACTCAACATGTGTAGACCATCTCTCCTCTCAACTTCCCTCCTGCTTGGTCATCTTTTGTTGGTTAATATTTCCTCACTAGGGGCCCAGTGCATGAATTCGTGCACCTTGAAAGGAACTGTGGGCCGTGAGGCTGTGGTGGGCACAGGGGCGGGTCTCGGCCCATCCTCCGCGCCCCTGCCTGGCCCCTCCCTCCATGGCCCCCGGTCCCCTGTCTGCCAGCAGCCCTGCTCCTGCTGCTGCTGCTCCCACACACTGACAGCACCGGCCTGGCTTGTACTCGCTGATGGTGCAGAGCGATTGGGGCCGGCGCTGGGCACCAGCAGTGGCAGCGGCTGCTGCCCTGATCACCCCTCAGGAGCCGGGGGAGGTGGAGAAGTTCTGAGGGGGGATCGGGGCCAGTAGCTGCCACTTGCACCTGCTGCCAGTGCCAAATGATCAGGGCCAGTGCTGGGTGTGTGGGGCGCAGCCCCTGCTCGCACCTGCTGACAGTGCCAAGTGATTGGGGCCGGCGCCAGGTGCCTGCAGTGGATGTGAGTAGTGGCTCTGGTGCCGGTAGCAGGAGCCAGTAGCAGGTGCAAGTGCCCACTGGAACTGCAGTGTGCGGGTGCAAAGAAGTTTCAGTAACCACCAGAGGCTCGCCCAGATGACAGCAACCGGCACCCTGCCTTGGTCTGGCGCCCCCACTCCCCTGCTTCACCATCCCGCTGTGGCCAATGCCCGCCATGTTCCACGCTCTGCTGCCTGCTGCCAATGCCTGCCATGTTCTGCATGTGCCTCCTAGTGGTCAGCGCACATCATAGCGACCAGCTGTTCAGTTGTTCTGCCATTTGGTCTATTTGCATATTAGGATATATATATATATATACATATATTAACTTGTTTGCCAAAGATCAGGAAAATGGAATAACAAGTTCAGATTAGATTACTCTTCTACTTACTAGTTAGCACAAAGGACAGATTTGGTCAAAAATAGAGTAGAGAACTTAATATCTAAAGAGAACTTTTTAAAATGTTAAGTTTGTTGAGGTATAATTTAGTTTACTCCTTTGTTCTTTGAGTTTTAATAAATGTATACAGTTATGTAACTGTCAGTACAGTCAAGATAGAGAATGTGTCCATCACTCTAAAGAGTTACCTCTGCGGCTTTGTCTTTGTCCTCAATGCCCAGCCCCAGCCCCAGCCCCAGCCCCAGGCAGTCACTCCTCTGTTTTCCTTCCCAACAGCTTTGCCTTTCCCTGTACTATACATCAGACCCTATAGTATGCAGGCTTGTGAGTCTGGTTTTCACTCAGCATAGTGCTTCTTCTTTTTTTAGGAGGGGAGGGACTCATTTTTATTTATTTATTTATTTATTATTATTTTTTTTATTGCTTACAGTATTACAAAGGGTATTACATATGTGTCCATTTCCCCCCCCCCCATGACAATCCCCTGGCCTCCCCTACCCCCCCATGGTCTTTATTATCCAGAAATGAGTGAGATCATGTGGTATTTTTCCTTCATTGACTGGCTTATTTCACTTAGCATAATGCTCTCCAGTTCCATCCATGCTGTTGCAAAAATACATTTTTATTGATTTCAGAGAGGAAGGGAGAGAGAGAGACAGATAGAAACATCAATAATGAGAGAGAATCACTGATCGGCTGCATCTTGCTTGCCTCCGACTGGGGATTGAGCTTGCAACCCGGGCATTTGCCCTTGACCAGAATTGAACCCAGGACCCTTCAGTCCACAGGCTGAGGCTCTATGCACTGAGCCAAACCAGCTAGGGTTCAGTTGCCCCATATTCTTGACAACACGTGGTATTCTCAGCCTTTTTGTTTGTTTTAGCTATTTTAATAAGTAAGCAGTGGTATCTCATGGTTTTTGTTTTGCATTTTCTGCAGGGAGCTTTTATACTAGTAGAATCCAGGTCTATCAATTTCAAACTGAGGAACCTCTTGGAAAAAGTCATAGAATCATCTTTCTTGGGGTCTCAATGTCTACATCTTTATAAAGGACACAGTAGAAATATCAATCCCATAAGTTGTAATGAAGTTTAATGAAAAAAACATATAAAACACTTAGCAAGTATTTATAGTACATGCAATTGAGCAGTGTGAGCTTTAATAATTGGCTAATCTTATGATTATATTTATATATATAAAAGCCTAAGTGATCGTCCGACTGTCCGATCGGTAGCTTTGATGTGCCCTGACCACCAGGGGCAGATGCTTAATGCAGGAGCTGCTGATCTGCAGTGACTTGGCAGCTGTGGTTCTTGGGTGACACACCTGGAAACAGAGAGGAGGGATCCCAATTCCGATTCCCAGATGCATCACCTGAGAACCGCCCTCTTGCAATCCGGGACCCATCAGGGGATGTTTGAGAGCCGGTTTTGGCCCAATCCCCGTAGACCAGGCCAAGCGACCCCACCAGTGCCAGAATCTGTGCACTGGACCTCTAGTGTATAGATAATGCAAATGTAATGCCAGGTAGCTGATGCAGTGTGTCGTAACATTCATCTAAGTGAAGCTATGTAAGATAGCTGGTAAGACCAGGGGGCATTTGAAATGGGGTTTGAAGGATTGGAGATGTGCCCTGTGAAGACGTCAGGAAAGGGCCTTTCCACAGAGGTGCACGCTGGATGGGTGGAGGGGGAGCATGGCAAGAGGGCATGACCAGGGTATCCCCCTGACTGCCCCTGCATGACCTTTTTGCTGTTGCAGATTGTCAAGGAGCAGTGTAATGAATGAGAACTTGGCCTACCTCTCTGAGTGGTTGCTTTTGTCATTTTATTTTTTAAAAGAAATCTTTATTCAGATTATTATAGTTGTTCCCCTTTTCCCCCCAATAGCTCCCCTCCACCCAGTTCCCACCCCCCCCTCTGCCCTTACTCCCCCCCTGTCCTCATCCATAGGTGCACAACTTTTGTCCAGTCTCTTCCCCCATCTCCCACACCCCTTTCCCCGCCGAGAATAGTGAGTCCATTCACTTTCTATGTATAGCTGTTTCCATCCGCAACGTGTCCCTGTGTTTGGAAAAGTCTCTCACGACGTGTTCACGTTCTACTCAGAAAGGGTACGGAGCCATGTAATGGCTTTTTAAAATAATGTGTCCTCTTATGTTTAAAATGAAGATTTCACTATCAAAAGTGGGGAGAAAGCAACATTACAGCTGCTCTCGCCCCTCTCGCCCTTTGGGTGATAGTTGTGCATGGGGCTGCGCGTTGGCTCGCGGGCTGTCGACGAAGCTGTCTGGGTG